TCATTGTGCTAATTTCTATACATTTGTTCTCATATTTCCCAATCATGACAACTAGATGGATTACACTTTTAAAGAATTCTCGGGTTTCATGTTTCTTTGCAGCAAAAGCATTCAATTTTTTTTTATTTTTTTTTATTTTTACTGAATTTAACATGAGAGATACCATATTTATGTCACCTCTTAAACCTGCTAAATGTTGTTTGACTATATTAGTATCACCCATAGTAAAAGTGCTTGCGCAATACAAGCAAACCAATTTTTTTTTTTTTCGTTATTATTAGCTTAAAAATTTCTTTACAAAAGTTATATCAGTGGACCTGTCCAAATTGATGTAGGACAACCTTGGGGCCTTCTATTATTTTGTAATTCTCAATGGATATCTAGCGGTAAATTCTTTGATTGTCAAAGATGTCGAAAAAGAACAAATGTGGATCTATTGTTTACGACACTACTTCGTTTTTTGTGATAAAACTCCCTGTAAATTTCAGTTGCTCTGAACAAAATTAGAACCACCATCTTAAGCTGTGACCATCCAAGCATTCTGGGAAGTGATGATAGTTGAAAGGGAATTAACAAAAGAGCTCGCTGTAACATCCCTACAATGAACTGTACCACTGCAATCCAAATGGGAGTACAGGCACTACCTTCATTCAAACTGAATCCAATCGCCCTTTTTTTGCCCAATTCTCGGAAAACTGGAAGTGGGATGATGAGCGTAACAATGAGAGACAGAAGCAAGAACAGAAAGCCCCTTCAAAGGGGAAGGAATCTCAGCATTGAAGCCATCCAGACAGTTCAGGCACTGAAGCGGGCAGTCAGCTCTGAGGTGCTGCTGGAGCAAGTATTTGATACCAAATTCAGGCGTTTGCTAAAGCTTGATATGATTGCAGTCCTTCGTGAACTTCTTCGCCAGAACCAATGCCTTTTGGCCCTCAAGGTTTGCCACTCTCCACCCTTCTTCAGAGACAAAATTAGAGTTCTAGTATTGCATGAACGCTTATGGATTTAAAATTTGGTAATGCTACTAAATTTCTGCTTTTGCTCGATATCCACTCTTCTCACTTTTCCTTTTAACCAGTTGATGCTTTCTTTGTGCTTATGTCATATTTGTTTATCTCATCTCATCTAGGTTTTTAAGGATGTCCGGAATGAGTACTGGTATAAGCCTCAAGTCTCTTTGTATGCTGAAATGGTCACAGTTCTGGGACACAATGGGCTGCTCGAAAAGGTTGAATTTCTTGTCATGGAATTGAAATCAGAAAGTAATTTAGAGCCAGATGTTGAGAGCTTCAATGCGTTGCTGGAAAGTTTGATGAATTTGAAACTCACTGGATTAGCAATGGAGTGCTTTTACTTGATGAAATCATTGTCATGCGATCCGGACAGGTTATCTTTTAAAATCTTAATAAATGGCTTAGAATCGACTGGAGACACGAATACTTTGGCTATTGTACAAAAGGAATCTCAAAAATATTATGGAGATTTTCTTACTTTCTTTGAAATGGAAGAAACAGTTAGCTAAGACTGTATTTGTTGATATGAGTTAATCCTTGTCACCTATGATTATATGGTTTAGATGTGCTTGAACACTTTGTGAGTTTGATTTTATTCCAATTTAGTTCTTAATTTTTTAGTTTTGAAGATAAAGATGTGGGAGGGAGGTGGGTAAAATTTTCCCTTGGGGAATCTGTTGAGGATACAACAAGATTGTCTTGGCAATCTTTGGTTGTAGTCTCTGGGCTATATGGGGTGAGCAGAACAAGTTGGTGCATAGGTGAAGGGAGTGGCAGTTGACATAGTGGCAAAATTAGTAGCAGTGCGCGAGTTTGAGCTGTTGCAGCCGTGGCAAGCCAGAGTGAGATGGAGTCGCAGTGGGATCAGGTGGAGACATCCAAGTGAGGGTAAATTGAAGCTCGTGCAGCAGTCCATAGTGAACAATGTGTTATTGGATTATGGGTAGTTTATTCAGGATCATCGTGACAAAGTGGGTGTGGCAAGCTCCAAGGGAGAGAGGCTTTTTTAGTACGGAGGTAGCTGAGTTATTAGAACTACGGTACAACCAGGATTAATCAAAGGCCAGTAAAGTTGCGGTTGATGTGGTGGAATGTGATGCTTAAATTCCTCTTTAGATCCGAATGAGGTAGTTTTGCATGATATAGTAGATCCGAATGAGGTAGTTTTGCATGATATAGTAGGTCTTTTTAGTTGAATTAGGTGCTGGTTCTTATGATTGTTCTTTTTCAGGGAACATGGTGACCCATTAATTTACTTCATTTAAAAATTCCTCCCAAGCTTCTGTAGTTGGATTGACATTTTATTCCATCTCCTATTCTGAGTGACATTTTTAAAGATATTTTGGCTTTTCCTTAAAAAAAGGGACATGTGAATGAGAAACAATTTATTTTATTTTATTATTTATTTTTCAGTTTCGTAGGGATCAAAGGTTTTTGCTATATTATTTTTAGCTTTCCAAAAAGAAAAGCCAATGCCAACCACAAACCAAAAATCATTTTCATTTTATTGATTACTACTGGTATGTTTTAAACATTTTACATGTACGACCAAATCAAAGCATCTAGTCGAATTCCGTGCGTCAACACTTGATTTGTTGAAGTTCTTAACAACATTATTGTTTTATTGAATGATGTTATCAAGCACAAGTTGTGCGAAACACCAATTTATGTGATCATAATTGATATGTTCAATTAAATAAATTATGTGATATTATATTTAGGTAAATCTATTGTACCAACTTTTACCATTCTTTTTGATGACCATTTTGCTTGATTTGTAATCTATCCCTCATCACATGAATTTCACGACTCTTCTTATTATGTTTTTCAATTTTCATCTCAATATTATTACTTCTAAAGGAATAAATGACAATCTCAAGTGTTAAAGTGTCACTGTCATACTCAATTGCATTTTTTTACATCAAGTGTTGGGCATGGAATTAAGCAATATTATGACCTTATATTATTCAAACACCATTTTACACAATTTACAATATCTTGTACAAGCTTGTTAAACACATCTAAATTGAAATCTAGATCTTTTGAACGATCCATTTTGAAACTAAAAAATCTCTTAAAGTAAGTAAAGTTTATCAGGAGTAGATTTAAGCAAAAACAAATTATCTAGTTTTTTTCAAAGTTCTTTTATGGTTTTAAGTTTATTAATTTTTCTCAAAACAACATTTGATAAGTGTGATATAATTGAAGTGTAAGCAAGCTCATCATATTTTTCTTTCCGTTCATTTGTTAAATTAGCAGAAAAATGGTCATCTAAGCTTTTGAAACTTGTTGTTTGACTAAATTCATTTCATTTTTTGTTATCTAACATAAAAATCTCATTTCCATTAAAGATTATCAATTCAAAATTGTGAAAATCAACCAAAATGCACTATCATCTCAAATGGACTACATAAAATAGCCAAAATATTGCAACAGATATATACCAACAAACCACTGTTTCTCACTAACTATAAGTCTCACAAAATAACTCACTCAACAATTATATCAAAAAATTAATGAGCAATAAAACTAATTTATCACATATTTCGACACTTTAAACATGTAAAATATGACAAATATTTCCTAAGTTCTAACAAGCAATGGTTATCCCCATATGGTAACCTCAAATTTAATGGTCACCAACGATGAACGCGAAAGAGATCAGCCAATTTATCGAGCGACCAAATTTGTCGTCCGTAAATAAAGGAGAGATGCGAAACCCTTGGATCATCACTATTCGCCCTTGATGAAAAACTAGTCCGAAAATATCTGCAGCAGCAAAAACAACATTCAACAATCGAACAATCGTAAAAAGAATTGTCCATATTTAGCGTACTGCAAAAAACCATAAAAACAACACTACCAGCATGTCATGGGCGGATCTAGGGGGTCCTGCGGGGGTAAGTGCCCCCCTCCCCCAACGTTTGAGAATTTTTTTTTTTATATAAAATCGTGTTTGGTATTGATTGAAATCTAAATTTTAATCTAAATCAAAGTTAACAATTAATTTTAATAAAATATTTTATGGAATCCATAACTATTTAACTTTTATCAAAATTTACTAAAAATTTGATTTTAATCTCGACCAAACATGGGCAAAATCACAATAAATTTGAATTTCGATAACATGCTTATTTTAAAAATTCTCTAAAGATCGTACGCTAATCGAATTTACAAATTACTTATGTCATCTCAAAACTTATTTCGAGAACTACATTATAAGCATATCGAATAGTCCAAACAGATATCGAAAATAGTTAAAAATACGTTAAACGTGAGTCTTAAAAAAAGACGTCTAACTCGCATTTTTTTAAAAAAAATCAATTATTCATTGACATTTATTATTTATGCAATACAAATTTCT